ATATCAAAAATACAAAAAAAAATGAGAATTCATTATATTTTTTGTATTCTTGTGTATTTATTAATTTTTAAAAATATTTTTATTTTAATATAAGAGAAATGTTACAGAGTTACAATTTAAATTTTAAAATTTATTCATAATAATATAATAAAAGAGTTAGATCTTACATAATTAAATTGATTAGCATGCAATGCCATTATGAAACTGAGTCTATCTTTTTTCAAAAAGATAAACCGAGCAGTCCGAGACATTCTATTTGAACCCAAAAAATATCTTAGTACGCCCAATTTAGATTTATAAATTTTAATTCTTATTATATTCTAATGTGAATTTACTAATAAGGATAATCTATATTAAACCCTAAAATAAAATATTTTTTTTTCTCATTGTACACCCAAATTCATTATTCCAATTCAAATCTCTACATCTTCTTCCCCAGGAGATCAAAATTAGTTTGTCTTTTTCTTCTTTCGCACTCCAAAACTCCAATCCACCTTACCAAAACTCACCATTATTATTAACATCATTATTTTTTATTATTTTGAAATCATAAACCGTAGAAGAAAGTTTGAACAATCAAACAATGGAAGAAAGTGATAATCAAGATAATATTTTGAAGCAATCCATCAAAGAGAAGGTAAGCATTCATATAAAAATCAAAATATTTTCTTGATTATCACTTTCCTCCATTGTTTGATTGTTCAAACTTTTGTTTAGGGTTTGGAGTTTTAAAATAATAAAAAAAAACAATGATATTAATGATAATGGTGAGTTTCGGTAAGGTGGATTGAAATTTTAGAGTGAGAAAGAAGAAGAAGAAGAAGACAAATCAACTTTGATCTATTGGGGAATAAGATGCAGAGATTTGAATAGAAATAATAGATTAGAGTGTACCACGAGGGAAAAAAAAAATTATTTTAGGGTTTAATATGAATTATGTGTTTTCCTTATTAATAAATTTAAATTAGCATATAATATGAATTAAAATTTCAAAAATTTAATTAGGTGTATTCAATTATTTTTTAAGTGCAAATAGAATCACCAAAAAAAATGGTTGTCATTTTCATAATTAGGAAAACTAATTATGCATTTAGGGAGTTGGGCCATAAAAAAATGTAAAAAGTTTATAAAAAAAAGTGACTGTTATTGAGGGAGACAGGCCACCAAGAAGGGGAAGCCACCAGATATTATTGGCCGAAGGAAAGGAAAATGTAAATCAGATGTTGGGCCCAAGTGTTAAAAAAAAAAAAAGTTGGGCCCAAGTGAAAAAAAAAACAAACACACACACACACAAAGTGGTTGTCATATTGAGAATGGCCCAGCAAACATGGACCTAAGGAGCATCGGCTGGCACGTAATCCATCCACCGACAAGAGCGGGGGGTAAACCTGTTTCCAGCAATTCTTCAAGGCCCAACTCCTTACTTGAAATGGGCGGGCCAGCAAATAACCCCATTAGGGACAGCCCGTTGGACCAGACCAACTTCCAACCACATTAATACCCTCCAAAATCTGGGCATCACCTATTGGCATCAAAATTCAACCAACCTGTACCCGACCCGTCCAACACAACCTATACTTCAAATACAAAGAGACTAAAGGACAACAACAACCAATAAATAATGACAGGATCCACGGAGCCTAGGTCCGGATACAATAATCTAAAGAGAAAAGACCGGGGTCGCTATAAACAACCTTTGTAAGAGAAATATTTTAAGGATGTGGCTGATGGTGCAATCGCATCTGTGCATAAAAAATTTTGTATCTTCAAGAAAGCCTCTGTATGGTAAGTGAGAGGAGGTGCCACCAGCAGACTTGTAATTTCACTAAGGGGGGTCATCTGGAACAACCAGATTGTCTTGGTGGTTCACTCCTAAGTTAGCTAACCCATCTACATTCTTGTTTTATTCTCTTAGAATATGGATGATGGAGCAGTTGCACCTGTGCAGTAGAAATTTAATATCCTCTTGTAAAGCTCTTTGGTGGAAGTTGGCAGGGGCATCTCCATTGGCTAGAAGCACCACTTGCTCTGAGTCTGTCTCAATGAGGGCGTATTTCATACCCTTCTCCAAGACCTTTTCCAACTATTATAGTGAAGCCTTGGTATATTCTACGAATCTCTGATTTCAAGTTAGTTGCACCCTCAATCTTGCCCAAATTGTCATTAATCCATATCCTCTTTTCATCCATGAAGAGTCCTCCATACCCAGCTTTGTTCTTGCGTTGCTAAGGAGTTAGTTGCCTTTAGTGCATCCATTGGTATTCAACTCGCACTTACTTTATTTGCATAGAAAAAATTCCATTAATTAATTTGGGTTCTATATGACCAGTGGATAAAGGAATTTAAAGGCTTCATAGATTTTTGAAGTATAATAGACTATTTAGTTATACTTATTTTCTTCGTTGATCTTATTATCAACAATGTCTAGGATTTTGTTCTCAAATTTGTCTTAAAATATTTACATTTATTGGATAATTAAAATTCAAGATATAGTAATTTGAGGACATAATTAATGGTGAAATTTGAGAATATAATATCTCATACCCTTAAATTGTTACATATTTATGTTCATGCGCAATGATGATGTATGGAAAATAATTAGACATAAATTTTGTATAAAAAACTCATTCAAAATATGATGAGATATTTTTTAAATTATAAATCACAAAACACCTCAATAGTTTATTTGTTCATCACCTATAGATATGGGGCACCACCCAACACTTTCCAATGGGTCAAATACAATAATTCGATAACTATTATTATATTCTCAGAGAGAATACTGACTTGAGTATCAACGTGTCTATTCTAACAAAACACTAATAATGTCTTTTGTTGAATATTCATGAAACACCGTTCATTTCTTCCTTAATTATATATTATCAGCTATGCTTAAAATTATGTTTTCAAATTTATGTCTTAAAAAATTTATATTTATTGGATCATGGAAAATCAAAATACTAGTAATTTGAGAAACATGATATAATGGTGAAATTCGGGGAAAAAAATATTTGTTAAAAATTTCTATTTATGCAATGATGTATGGAAATTTGGGAAGTTGGGCCGCAGGAGGAGGAAGAAAATACAAAAAAAGTGACTGTTATATTGAGAGCGGGAGGTATTCACTGCTTTGTGAAACCAGCTTGGCGCTGTGCCCTCCACTCCAGGAAATGAGAGCCTCAAGCCTTCGCTTAAGGCCCACGGTTCAACTCCTTACTTGGAATGGGCAGACCAGTAAGCAACGCCATCAGAACCAGCCTGTTGAGCTAGACTAACTTTCAGCCATAATGATGCCCTCACTTGAGTCACAGGCTCACGTTACCAAGCCTAGCGGTAAGAACCTGTTTGGTGATCGTTTAAATCGAGCATTATTAAGTTCTTACTCTTCGATGTGGGACTGAATGCAATTCCAGTGCTGCTCACAATGACAACAAACAAACAACTTTCCAATCTTTGTTTGACCTTATGGTAAAAAAAAAACCATAGAGGTTATTAATCAACGTTGATTTTTTATTTATTGGATCAGATCAATACATATAAATGAAGTAGAGAACTTGTATAATTTCTGGATCAACTAGTGATTGTTTTAACTATCTTCCTGCCCATTTTCAATCCTTTAATATTACAAAATTGTTGCTGCCTTCTTCAAGTCCTGAACTCAGTTTTAAACCTTTGATATCCAACAGTTTGTCACATCCTTCATGAGTTCTTACGTTATTTCATTAGTTTCTCACATCAATTGTTTCTCAATAGTATTCAAAACATTTTTCAAAAAGTATTTATACCCATATCCTCCGAGTGACTCATGGAAAACATGCTCGATAGTACATCCAGTTAGTTCTTCCAAAAATGAACTTGGTGTCTTCGGCCAACGCTTTGAATGGGCGTTTTTGTTTGGCTTGGCTCAATAGCCTTACTTCAATATCTAATTTTTTGTCCAAGACCTTTTCCAAATATTATAGCGAAGCCTCGGTATATTTTACGAATCTCTGATTCCTAGCTAGTTGCATTCTCAATCTGGAAGTGGGTGGTAGCATGTAAAGGGCCAACTATCACAGTCACTAAAAGCATTTGGAATAATTTAGCCCCTCCCAAAGTACAGTTTCTGAGCTGGTTGGCTTGGAGAGGTAGGATTAAGTCCTCTGAGTTTTTACAAAGGATTGGAGCATTGAATTCTAATGTTAATGCATTGTGTGTGTTTTGTAAATCTGAGGTGAAGTCTTCAAACAATGTCCTTCTTCACTGTCCTAAGATCTGGAGAATATGGGCCAGTATTGTGAGTTGGTGGAACCTGAGTTGGGCTATTCCTGGTTCAAGTGTGGAAACTCAGGAATGAGTGCATGTTTAATGAAGCACAACCAACTTTAAATGATTTGGCTTACCTGGTAAAAATTAGAGTCGTTATGTGGGCTGTTTTCTCCTTGAAAGAGTTTAATTACTCGGTGCACGATGTGTTATATAACCTGAAACAGGTCTACAACTGTGTGTAGCAATTGGGACACAAGGATGCTAAATTGCTGCTAAGAATAGTGGTGCTGGTGGTTTTTCTGCTGTTCTGTTTTGATACAAGGAAACTAAATTGCTGATCTGGTGCTAGTGTTGGTCTGCTATGCTGGTGGTTTTTTGCTGTTCTGTTTAGGTGAAGTTTTTGTATCAGATATGGAAGTTTATGGTGTTGTGTGATGCTTTGCTGAAATATGATGATGCTGTTGGTGTTTTGTGGTAAAGGATTGTGTTTAAGGTTAGGTTTTTGTTTTATAAGGTTGATGGCTGGGCAAGACTTGGGATGAGATGATGTTTTGGGCAGAAAGAACTTAGGTGTACTGATGTATAAGGCTACCTGCATGAAGTTTCATTTGGCTTTGGTTAGGCAGTAGAGAGTCTAAGCTGCTCGGAGTTGGCAGATGGGTATTATCCCACAAGCAGCCTATATAATCCAGATCAGTATGCAACAATCCTAATTCCTCATTACTCTCATCAATTAAGGTCATTGCAAAAAGATGGAGGATATAAGATTGTCACCAAGGTGTGGAGCTAGTGTGGTGCTGTTTAGAGGGGTTTTTGGTGCTGGTCTGCTATGCTCTGCTGCCTGGGGTTTTTTGCAACAGGTCTTATTTTGTTAAACTTAGGTCTTATTTTGTTTTGCTGCTGTGATGGTCTCTTTTCTGGGGGTTTTGCTTCTTGATGCTGGACTGCAATGCTTAGGTGCCTACCTGTTGTTTGTCCTAGATGAATGGCTGAATGTTTGTGTTGGGTGGATGAATGGTTGTATGGCTTGATGCTGGTCTGCTCTGCTTAGATGCCTAACTGTTGCTGTTACTGATTGTTGTTGTGTTGTTCTGATTAGGTGGCTGGGCTGTATGCTGAACTGTTGGTCTGTTGTTTGTTGTTGTTGTGTTGGTTGGTCTCTCACCAACTTTGGAGGTGCTAGCAAATGATAGGATGAGCTTTTTGGTGCCAACTTTGTTAGGATGATTTAGCTCATTGCGATGCTTTTGAATTTCCCTTTTCTTTATTGATGTAATTTGCTTTGTACTTTGTACTAGTTTATTCCATCAATAAAGTTTCTTTCTTTTGTCGATCCAAAAAAAAAAAAAATTCTTTGTCATTAATGGACATTCCCTTTTCATCCATGAAGAATCCTCCATATCCGGACAAGGGGTCACTGCAGTCCATCATTCCTTGCTCCCCGTGCAATTCTTATCTCTCTGCTGTGCCTGCTGTGCTATGACAAATTTAAGTGCATATTCTATCTCCGACACGAAATCAGTTGCACAGACATATGCCTTCCTTGTTAAGGTAGACCAACAGTCGAGTTGACTAGTAAATTATTGAAATTTAGCTTAAAAACTAAGCAAGCTTGAAGTGTTTAAATTTAATTTCTTTTATTTTTTGAGTTGATATTAAATGAGTTTTAATCGATCTGACTCGAGTAATTTGATTTTTTTTATAAATTTATCACCAAGATTAAAAAATTAACCAATTTTGAAATACGTTTAAATTTAACTTACTTACATGACTCACCGATTCTAAAGAGTTTTTAAACTTGAGTCTAAGCTCATCCTTAAGTCTAATCCACAAAAGTCAAGCTCATCCTCGTTTTGTTCTAGGGATAATTATTTTTTATTTTTACAGCTGGAATTTCTCTTGAATTTCAAAGCAAAGTGAAAAAAAAATAATGAGCAAACCTTATAAACCATTCTTTGGATTAACACAACTATGTTATATTTGTTTTTAGGTAAATTATACTTTTCTCTTTTATAATTTGATTCTAATTCTATTTTAATCATTATTTTTTCAATTTGAACAGTATTAACTCTAAACATCAAATTAAATAGTAAAAATTTACCCTTTATTTTTTTTAACTGCTTGTGCTTACTATTTATTTGGAATTGCAATGCAGTGGCTGATTGATCACCCAAAATACCTCAAAAATCAGTTGTTCATTGGGGCTGATTCTAATTCAGGCATAACTGCTCCAATAGTAGTTCAACATATAGTAGAGGGTAACTAAATTAATTATTAATGCTAATGACAATTAGTAACTAATTCAACTCTCATTAGCTCATGTTTTGATTAATCATATATTTTTGATATAGGAAATGCTGTTGGGGAGAGGCCACGCTTGAATCTCAAAGTAAGTAACTTAATATTAGAACTCAAGTGACTTTAATAAGCTCGGTTTAGTCGAATAAATTTGTGCATTATAGATTTGTTATGTACATCACTATTCAATGCAATGTTTTAATTTTTGTTTCAATGGGATTTATACTTGACGTCTGCTTCACAATAATTGTCGTATTAATATAATATTCTAATTTGAAATGGTTTTTTAGGGCTATATTCTTGGGTGCCCGCGAACAGATGCAATTATAAATGAAAATTCAAAAATATCATACTCTCACCGGATGGGACTTATATCCGATGAACTTTATGAGGTGATTGTTTGTGCTAACAATATTACACACTAAAAAAAAAGAATTTTGAAAACTATCTAGAAAATGAAATTTGTGGATTAGATATTTTGGGTGTGACCCACATCACACTAAATTTAAATTTACACTACACATTTCATTTCCGAGATACTTTTCTAAATACTTTTTCTGGGTATGTAACTTTTTCATTCCTAATGTTGTATGATTGAAAATTATGGTCTTTCATACAGTAGCATTGCAAGGTTTGATTTGTTTTCTTGTTTTAAAAAAATGTTTTACAGGAGACCAAAATAACTTGTAATGCTAATTATTATGATGTGGATCCAAACCAAGCAGAGTGCTTTGAAAGCCTTCAAAAGATTGCAAACGTGAGAGCCATTGGTGATTTCAATTTTAGGACCAAAATTATTTGAAATTCTAGACCTACTAAGGATGAGAATTTTTATTTTTGATTTGTAGTTGATTCATGATATAAACAAAAATGATATATTGGAACCAAAGTGTACTTGGGCATCCCCAGATCAAAATGGAGAAACCGATAGACGATCACTAGAGCAGCAATCGGGAAATTTCATTCTCTCACCTCCCAAAATTCCAGAAATGTGGTGTCGCGTAATTTTCTCTTTCCTCTCTCCCTCTTTGAGGCCATTCGTGGGCTTAGAAATGTGCCGAATAATAATATGAATTCATCTACATATGCAGAATTTCAATTTTGCACTCTCCTATATTTGGGCAAATGATGAGAGTGTCCAACAAGCCTTGTATGTTACAGAGGTATGTGATCTTCAAAGAATTTAATATCTAGGGTTATTTACATTAACTTGACTGATTAAATATATACATGATTAAATTTTTGCTTTATTTATTGTAAAATTCATACATTATTACATTTCATTAACTTTATTAATTCAGAGATGGTGGTTAATTTAATTATCAGGGAATAGTTAAAGATTGGAAGAGGTGCAACAAGAACTTGGATTACACACTGAATGTGGAAACTGTACTTGATGTTCATAAGAATCTCAGTTCATATGGTCTCCAAGTTCATGTATACAAGTTGGTATTTTGAACCTTTAATTTACATCTATGCTTAACTAATAATTTTCTTCTTCACATTAATTTACTTCTTAGAGTTGAGCTTATAATAGTAGTGTGACACACTTTATTGAACTTTAATACTTGTTTTTTTGCAGTGGTGATCATGATTTAACTGTACCAAATACCGGAACTCAAGATTGGATAAAATTGTTAAATTTAACTATTGTTAGTGACTGGCGGCCATGGCTAGTTGACGGCGAAGTTCGAGGGTGAGTATATAAAAACATTTTTTCAATTTTAATTTCAATTTCAAATTAAATTAAATTAAATTAAATTTTTAATCATGGGTAAGTCTAGGGGAGGTATGTTTAATTACGCTAAAATGATAGGATTTATTGTATTTTTACCAAATTTCAAGAGAAATCAGTTTTATTATTATTATTTTTGTTATTCCACTATCTCCTCTTCTTCTTTTTAAGTCAATTAATAGAAAATAATTTGCAAATATCAAGAGGCAGACATTTATCATTTCACTATGTAAAAAAGTTTTACCTCTTTATATGCTTAAAAAAATTAAACCAACTTTTGACAAAGAGATCAATCAGGACCACCCATCATTTTTCAGTATAAATTTCTAGACAATTTTTTTGAATTCCTAGAAATAAATAACACCGCAAAAAGTCTCAAAATTGGAGAAAAAATGATGAGTTAATTAAACTAAGACTCCTTTAACTATTAGTGAATATCACTTTACCTTCCTCATCTACGAACCTGTACATGTTGATCTCCTGAAATTAAAAAAAAAAAACCTCTTTTGGAGGTGTTTTGGAGGGGTAAAAGTGATATATTTTTATAATTGACTCAAAATGTACAAGTTTATAGATGAAGGGATAAAGTAATAGTCATTAATAGTTGAGAGGGACTTGTGTAAATAACCCACAAATATCAATTATTGAGCTTCCAAATAGAAGTGTACAGGGGTGGCCAATTGAAGCCAATTGAGCCACCCCACTTGGTTCAATTGTACCAATTATCTCCTTACATTTATAGTCAAATTGCAATGTCGATCTTTTGTAAGTAGTCGATTTTATGAATTGATGGAAAATGCCTGACACGAAAAAACCAAAATGTGTTACATGGCCATTTCCCATCAGTCCATGTAATGACAATTTACAAAAAAATGAAAATAAAAAAATGAAGCAATTATTCAATAATATAGGTGGCACTGACGTGGCATTGCCATAAGCGACATTGAATAATTTGTTTAAAATATTACATTACAACTTGATGGTAGTAGTGTAATAATTTTTAAGTTAAGAATAATCTAAAATTGAGAGGATTAATTAGGTAGTAAGAAGGTACTAACCCTGATACTTGACCATCAACAAACCATGGTTTCCAGTCACTTGATTTAGGTAAATGAAGAGATTTTATCCATGCTAATGTACCCATATGTGGAATAAGCATGTCGTGATCACCGCTGTGTGAAGAAAAATTGTGTGCTTATAAAACAAGAAAGAAAAAGAAAAAAAGTTAGCATTGGTCAAAAGCTCATGCATATGTATTTACAATGTTTGTTTAGGACATGTCATTGAAATTGAATAAATAAAAATATGTAGTTCTCTGTCTGGCAAAAAATTAGTGTCCAAATTAATAATTTACTTGGACATGACATCCTTGTAAAGGGGATTATTGAATCCTAAGAGGGGGTATCAGATACAAACTATGAATTACGAAGAGATTTGAAGTAATTGATTCAATTACAAAATATATAAATTTAACTTTGTACCCTTACATCTGACATTCGATCCCACCTTGTCTTTGACTTTTTAATTTTCTCAATCCGCCTCCAAATTTTGAATCAAATTGCAATTTCGCCCGTTTTTAAGATGTAGTTTTGAAAACTAACAGAGAACAACCATGTAATAATATTAATTACAATTAGCACTCATGCACTTTTACACAAAAAGCCACTTTAGTCCATTCACTTTAGTCATTAGCACCTACGCACTTTTATTGAAATTATACTTTACTATCTCCACTTTAGTGCCTCTCAATTTTTAAAACAACATTATAAGATTGAATCCAATTGCAACTTGCCTCGAAATCTATGGGTTAATTGGGACAATTATTGAGCGTAAAGTACAGGGGGATTGAGCGTAAAGTACAGGGGTGTTAAGTGAAATTTGCCCTTATAAAATTGAGAAGATTATCTCAATATCTTCTTATAATCTTGAATCAATCCAAATGTGATAGAATATACAATTCAAAGAGATTAAAAATCTAAAGAAATGTTATCTAATCTAGTCCGCTCAAATAAACCTGACCTTAAATTGTGTTTGGATCTTGAATTTAAGACAGTTATAATTCAATCATACAACAAGATATGAAATGTAAAAAAAAAAAAAAAAAAAAAGTTATATTACCTGTATATGAGAGCTCGAGTATCTTGATTTGTAAGATTCTTATGATAATCGATGGTACTTTGGATATCATTTGTATAAGATAAGCTCATATTGCATCTTACCCACTATTTGATTGTTCCCTAATTGTCAACATAAAATTATTTATTAATAAAATTTGTCTCAAAAAGCAATTATTCATTGAATTAGTGTACATAGTAATGCTAAGTGCACTCAACATTAATACTCTTAATTAATGTACTTACCTCTCGAATATGAAGAGCTTTTTGGACAGTTTCATTGTTCGCCCAAAAGTAAGAGAGCAAATAATCTTGATTCTACGAAACAACAAAAGTGGTTAAACATGTTTGTCTGTATGTCATTGTGAGAGGGAAATTTAGAGAAAATAATAATAATAACAATAAGGAATGAATTTCTCTCCGGTTAGTAAAATTGATTGGACCACTAGTCGTCTCATTGTGAGTCCAGCCTCGGCCCACCTTAGTGATCTAAACTTTGTCAGTCCTGCCAAGCTGATCATCCACACAATAAATCAAGTTGATCAAAGAAATTGAATTGCATTTGTCTTAAAAAAAAATAGAATGCTTTGGGAATAGACTATCTATATTTTTACAACAAATGTAATCCGATTGTGTGACTCTTGATGTGAATACTTACATCACCTTTGATGGATTGTTTCAAAAAATAGTTTTGATTATTGTTCTCATTCGTTATTTGATTTTGTTCAAACTTTCTTCTATTTGTAAGTAACAACACAAAAAGAAACAATGGTGTTGATAATGGTAAGTTTTGGTAAGGTGAATTGAAATTTTAGAGTGAGAAAGAAAAAGATAAAATAATTGAAATTTGGGGAAGAAGATAAGAGACTTGAATCTAAATAATACATATAAGTAATTAGGGTGTGCCATGAAAAAAAAGATATTTTATTTTAGGATTTAATATGTGTTTTCCTTATTAATAAATGTAAATTAGCATATAATATGAATTAAAATTTCTAAAATTTAATTAGGTATTACTCAATTATTTTTAAGTGCAAATAGAATCACCAAAAAAAATGGTTGTCATTTTCATAATTAGGAAAAGTAATAATGCATTTAGAGAGTTGGGCCATAAAAAAATGAACAAAGTTCATAAAAAAAAGTGGCTGTTGTTGTGGGAGACAGGCCACCAAGAAGGAGCAGCCACCAGATATTATTGGCCCAAGGAAAATGTAAATCGGATGTTGGGGCCCAAGTGTTAAAAAAAAAAAAAGAAAAAAACACAAAAAAGTGGTTGTCATATTGAGAACAGCCCAGCAGATATGGACCTGAGGAGCACCGGCCAGCCCGTAATCCATCCACCGACAAGAGCGGGAGGTAAATTACTCAGTGAATTCCCAATAAATTCTCAATCAATTACTCAGCAATTCTTCCACCTGTAACCTGCTTCCAGCAATTCTTCAAGGCCCAACCTGTTGTAAATTAACTAACCTGGTGTTTCCAGCAATTCTCTTCAAGGCCCAACCTGTTGTAAATTAACTAACCTGGTGTTTCCAGCAATTCTTCAAGGCCCAACCTGTTTGTAAATTAACTAACCTGGTGTTTCCAGCAATTCTGCCCAACCTGTAACCCGCTTCCAGCAATTCTTCAAGGCCCAACTCCTTACTCGGAATGGGCGGGCCAGCAAATAACCCCATCAGGGACAGCCTGCTGGACTGGACCAACTGCCAACCACTTTAATACGGCCTCTTTGGTGGCTCTTTAAATGGAGCGAAACTATGCTCTAATATTTCGATGTGGGAATAGAACAAGCCAAGATGTCAACTGCTCTCCAATCTGTGCACGTGCAGTCCCTAAAGCAATCTTGACACGTGTGTTCCAGGTCAATGGCTTGCTAAATTCATCTGAGAGATGGAGGAAGTCATAAAGAGAACCATTTTTATGGAACTCATATACCAGCAGGTGCTGTCCATGCTTTGAACAATAACCAACAAGCTCTGTTATATTTGGATGCCGCAACGGGGATACGTCTGAAACTATATCCATAAAATCTTCAGACAAGTGATTTGGAAGAGCAGATGAATTTATTTTCTTCACAGCAAGAACCTGTAATATCATCAAAAGACATAAAAGGTGAAATCATTAAACAAATGATTTGAGTCAAAGAAACCCAAAAAAATGGTTCATTCAAACTGTTTTTGTTCAGATGCCCATCGGGAATTGTGGACAATAAAGAAATAAGGGAAGGGGCATTGTATAGTATTATGGAAGCCACTCTGGTGAATTTATTTTTCTTTTTTTCTCCTCTTGGTCTTCAAAATTAACAATTCAAGTAGTACAAGCAAAGCATGTGCATGTTTGAGATAGATGTTTCTTAATGAATGATGATCCCTACAACTAAACACTCTTCCCTACTTCAAATTTGCCATGTTGCAGGAGCATAATTATCTGTCATAAATAAATATACTATTCACCAACAGATTAAGAAACTGTAAGCATTAAGCTCAAGAGAGTACCTTTCCGTCATCAAACTGAGCCCCAATAAACACATCCAATGGACCCCTCGCCGACAAGAGTTTCAACACTAAAGCTGTCTAAAGCCATCTGCAGGTCTGCTATTTAATATGATATAGCATTTACTGGAGGTGTATGGACTTTCTTGGGAACAATGGGATCAATGGGTTTCCTTGAGAAATCATCTTCATCAAATGATTTGTGACGATCAATAGGTGGAGGTCTTAGGTTTATTGAGGCTGAAGTTTCAAATGTTTTTGTGATGACTGTGGACGGAGTTTGAATCGCTGCAAAAATGATGCCACAGAGTTAAAAATACCAAAAAAAATGAGAATTCAGTACATTTTTTGTATTCTTGTGTATTTATTATTTTTTTTAAATATTTTTTACAAAT